TTTTTTTACTTAATTTTTTTTATAAATTAGGCTAATATACATTAATATCATGTTTTATTATTTCATTTACATTATTTTAGATAGAGAAAACTGTTTTACACAGTTCATCCTATAAAATTAATTAAATACCCTTAAATTTATTTTTATATTATTTTTTAAAAAATATTTAATTAATTTTACTTGACGAAACTGCATGCTCTGTAAAATAATTTTAATTTTAGATATTAGTTGAATAAACTTCTAAAAAAAGGATATTAATTGAATAAAAAAACAAAAAAGGGGAAGCGGAACATAGCGCCAACAGATTCAAACCTTTAGATCCATTCACCATTTTCTCCTCGCCCTTCTTGAATCCCACATCCCATCTCGACAACCAAGCTCATATGGAAGGAGGAGGAGCCGGAGCGCAGCGTGTCGACACCGAGATGACCGAGGCAGCCCAGCAACCCGACCCACAGCACCCGCAGCAGCATCTGGCCCCGCAAATGGTAGTCGGCGGGATGGAGAGTATTCGGGCTACGCTTAGGCACGGTGGCAGGTTCATACAGTATAACATATTAGGGAACATGTTCGAGGTCACTGCCAAATACAAGCCCCCCATCATGCCCATCGGCAAGGGCACCTACGACATCGTCTGGTACCATGCTCTATCCCTTTCCTCTTCCTCTTTTAAAAATTTAATTTCTTTTCCATGTTTCTCTCTTACCCTTTACGTGTATCTTTGTGGGTGTCTTTTTAATTCGTGTTATTTGTTTCTTCCTCAAAAAGAGACGGTTTTTTACTGACAAACATGGAAATTTGCTTTGTCATTTTGATCGTTTCTTGCCCAATATGCATTTCTTATTTATATTTGTGTGTAGTTTCTTCATAATTGATTAGGGAATTTAAATTTTGGGTGATAGTATAGTAGTGTGTTATGGACTCTTTTAGTCTAGGGTATCAAAGCAAAATCATTTGATTGGAGTAATGTGACTTGGAGCGAAAAGATAATCATTATGTTTCTTCATCATAGGAACCTGTTAAAGTTTGCTAAATAGTAAAAGATTTTGGAATAAGTTTTTGGGTTGTCAGGAACTTTGTTGATTTTGTTATGTGGTTTACTTTGTGAAGAATTTAAGTGAAGCTCGAGTGCTGTCTTCATGCAGATATCCTGCAACACACGTTTCATTGTTCTAATAGATTCCTAATACATTGATAATTTTCGGTTCGCATGTTTAATCAAAATTTAGCTCGGTGCAATTCTATTTTAGTTTGAGTTTCTGATATTCCTTCACTGGTTGCTCTGCTCATATCTAGGAGGAGATGAAGAATGCAATGAAGATGGAGTGATTAGAGCTGGAATTTACTATTTTTTATCATAAAATTTTTTAGTGTTCATCACATCTGGTGAGTCCTCAAGGTCTCTCTTTTCTGTACTGTAATTACATTTCTTCAAGTTGCGTACTCTTAATTTATTTTGTTTTCATTCTTATTTTTTTACATATTTCAACATGCTTCTCATACCAGGAAAACATATCTGGGAATGCATGCGGTTGTACCTTTGTCTCATTTTTTATTTTGTGTCTTGAAGCAGATGTGAACATGATTATATGCTTCACTGTCTAAGATACATCTAACGGTTGGAGATGAAGAAGGTGAAGGTGATGAAAGGATAACAATAGGACTTTTTTCTGGTGTGGCAATGTGGGATTCACAACCAAACAAGAAAAAATACACTTAAAAAATAGGTAGTGATTTAACTGTGTTGATTGCATTCCATTTAATTTGCTTTGATTCATTTGTGAAGAATAAACTGAACCCTTGTTTTTTCAGTGCCTCTGTTCGTTTGTCTTTGAAAGCCATAGCAGAAATTCCTTGAGGCTCATAAAGCGTCTACGTTTTATTGTCTGAACCTCTACCTGCTGCATACTCATTTCCATTTGCTTCTTGTCTTGTAGTTACTTGTTTTTCTCTTGCTTTGTGCTGTTATTATAGCTGTTTGAAGAGTATATTGTAAAAATCTATCTAGATACAGTGGAGCTTTTTTTATGGACAGGAGGTCCCATGGTTTTTACTCTTCAATTTGAAGAGGTTTTCCACATTACACGCTCAAACTCCACCTAACAAACTAAATTTCTCATTTTTTAAGAAACATCATACTTATAACACCCAAATGTTCCAACACCTGATCTGAGATGGCCAGAATGATAAGTTATATCCAAACTGCTAATTTGTCAACAAGTATTGCTCACAAAGAGGCTCCATGTATACAAGGCAAGCCAACTCAAGTTATCAAAATGACAATTCTGCATTGATCTTAAGCCTTAAAAAACTCATAGTTACAGTTATGCGTCAGATTAAATAAAGTGTACAACATAAGGGAAAATTATAGACCTCGAGCTGGCAATACATAATACTAAAATAAGCAAAATCATGTAAGGCATAAACATACCGCCAACAATCAACAATAAGGAATTAAAAAGTGAAAGTTTTAGACCTCTAAACTCGGCAGATTTCATAGCTATTGGGATGCAAATTAGGAAGACACCAAATATTGCAATGGCGGTGTTGCGACGCCAGTGCTTGGGCCGGCAACCCGACATGCTCCAGACCTTCTTCCTAAAATCCTCAGCTCCATCTCCATGTCCATGCTCAGCTCCTCCCATCTC